AAGAGCCGAAAACTTCAATATAATTATTTAAATTAAATTGAATCAAAGTACTATGCTCTGTTCAAATTCAAATAATTATATTGAAGTTTTCGACTCTTGTTTTGAAACATGAGAAATCTTATGTAGCGTGTTGGAATCATATTTTTAAATAAATAATTATATTTATACTCTACTTTTGTATCGAGCACTATTTTTTAAGAACAATAACAAAAATACTAAAAAAACTTTGGATTATTTACCTAACGAGTTTTTTCCTATTTTCTGTATATTTTTCACATATATATATTCATGCTAAAGTCAATGATTAGGCCACCATATGCTCTGTCTCTGATATTGATTATTTTATTCCATAAATATAGCGCACCTTAAAACTATGTTTGTTCATATTATACAGAGTGACGCCCAAAAAACAGGAATTTTTGAAGTGCGTATTGCCAGACATGAGCAAGTGGCAACACTGCGAGACAGTGACCTTGAGCAAGTAAACATTTCGCCATTTAGAATTCAAGATGAAATTCAGTCTCCCAGTTGAGATGTTGCAGCAGTCAATGAGGAATCTCAACAGCAGATTTCAAGAATGCATTCGACGCCATCTGCAGGACGGAATTTTTAAAAAATGAAAACACCATCATTGTTTCTTAAATAGCATGTTTTAAGGTTTCAATTACTATGAATAAAATATTTTTCTTCTATCACTCTTGGTTTTATTGGATTGTTAAAATGTTCTCGTTTTTTGGGTCACCCTGTATATCTTTCTATCTATATATATATATATATATATATATATATATATATAGATAGATAGATAGATAGACAGATAGATAGATAGGTAGATAAAAAAAAACGGAAAAAACGAGAGATGACGTTTAAGTTGGCCTTATTTGGGGGAACGGTTACATGATTTGAGGTAAAACAATTTTTTTCTCCCCCCTTACCATCCTGTTTTATTACGGTATGAAAAAAAAATTTCTTGTTAGTACTCCGTTTTAGATTACCGACGATTGTGTTTGAAAATGTGTCGGTCGAAAGGTACCTTACATTTTATGTTTTAAACGTGGATATTGTTGTATCTTATGTTTAATATGATCCCATATTTTTTATTCCTCAAATGTCTGATTAGACTTGGCAGTACTACAAATCTGTTTATATATATATATATATATATATATATATATATATATATAAACATATATTGTTAAATATGACACACAATAAATGGCTATTAGGTCTGGTAATGAGCCGTTTTAATATTCAAATATTTAGTTTAATTTCGGGTGAGAATAAAACAAAACTTGTGCAACATTTGGATATTTTTATTAAGTTGGTCCTTGATCTAAACTTTTGGCTCACATGACCCATCTTCAGAGTGGTTATACGGACATTTTAACAAAGATATTCACCATCGAGCTAGAAGATTCTTTTCGTCCATCATTCATCCGTGTATTGAAGACTGTTACCATATCTGGTCCGGTCTTCCTGCTATTCATCTCGATGTTCTTGACGATATCCAAGGAATTATCTACAATGTAATTGCTTCTGACTTGGCATCACCCCTTCAGTCACTTTTCCACCGGCGTGGTGTGGCTTCTCTATGTTTTCCTACAAATAATTACACGGCAACTGCTCTCAAGAGCTTTTTTTACTCTGATACAACGACTACATGAATTTAAGCGTGCTGTTAGTTTAGCATCTAGGTCCCATCCATTTTCTGTTGAACTAGGTAAATACAACCTTTTCTGCTTTTGATCAGCATAGTTGATGCTAAACTCCAGGAGAGCAACATGCTACACATAATTCGCCACACGTTTTCGAGTGACTATATCGAAACAAGTGCTTCGTCTACTGCACTATGCTGAGTCGGAAATTTTTTGTCATCGAAATCCATCTTGTACATTTACAAATCTGCCATTCGTCCGTGCATTGAATATTGTTGCCATATCCGGTCCGCTGTTACTGCTATTCATTTCGATGTTCATATGAAAATTCAATTCATATTTTCATGGCAACTGCTCTAACTATCTTTGCATTGTGCTTTAAGGTATAATATATATATATATATATATATATATATATATATATATATATATATATTGTTAAATATAAAAAAATAAATGAATATTATGTCTGATAATGAGCCGTTTTAATATTCAAATATTTGGTTTAATTTCAGGTGAAAATAAAGCAAAAAATCGTGCACCATTTTGATATTTTTTTTAAGTTGGTCCTTGAACTAAGCTTTCGGCTAACATGAGCCATCTTCAGAGTGGTTATACGGACATTTTAACAAAGATACTCACCATCCAAGATAATATTTTGTTAAGTTGACATAGAAGATTGATATGCGACGATAACGGTTGCGGAATAGAAGACGCAGGTCGTAAGTTCATGATGCGGTCCTATGACGTCATACCATGTGAGAGGCCGAAATATTAACAACAGAACTATATGTCTAGGTGCAATGTAATGTGTTGTCGTTAGTATGATATGTAATTTTGTTGAGTTTGGGTTGCTTTGTTTTAATGTAGATGGCCTCCAATATCTGAAGGTTCGTTTTACCATGTGTATGTTTGAGTATTATTGTTTTATCAAATAATATATGTCTAATATTATGTACATGGCAATGTTTTTCTAAAACTTCTTTGTTAAAATTACCGCATAACCACTCTGAAGGTGGCTCATGGGAGCCGAAATCATAGATCAAGGACCAACATAATAAAACATATCCAAATGTGGGACAATTTTTGTATTAACATTCACCTGAAATTAAACAAAACGCACGATCATTAGGACGGCTCATGATTAGACATAATAGACATTCATTGCTATATTTAACAATATATGGTTAAATATGATCTGCTGCCCTGATACACTATATATATATATATATATATATATATATATATATATATATATATATATATATATATATATATATATATATATAAAAGTTATGAAGGACTTCTTCCTATATTGTGGAAACACAATTATTCGGGTAAATGAACTATTATAATTTTAAATATTTCTTTAATATGTTCTCGATAAATATGTTTATTACAATAGTAGTTAACTTCTATTAAATCCCTAAACTATTTACTTAAAAAATTAAATACTTAAATTAATATCTTTCACATTTTTTTAGACACCTAATTTTCTATCAAACATTGTAATTTATCTTTTACATAATTTTGTTAAAACAAAATTACAGCCTCTTTCGATTCACTTCCCGCTCCCCCTCTCTCTTTGCCATAAAACTCTTTTGAATACGTCTGTCTTTTTTTTTCCCTCTTTCTCTCTTTCGATTCACTTCCCTCTCCCGCTTTCTCTTTGCTATAAAACTCATTTGGATACGTCTGCATTTTTTTCCATTTTTTCTCGCTTTTTTTCTTTTACTTTATTTCCTTTCCTCACTATTCCTACAAATCACTTCCGTTTTTTTTAACCATATAAATAGGTCAAGGTTAGGTCACTCCTCTTACCCCAATATAAAGCTTATTTAAGAGAGATATAAATTCAACCCTCCCTATACTCTGTATTGTCTCTTTAACCGCCACTTTAACCCTCCCTGTTTAATTACAAAAATTACACTACCCATCAATTTCTAATCCCGTTCTTCCTCTCATTTCATTGTTGAAAGTGTTACCTAATGATCCGAAATACTTTAAAAAGGATTTTGGTGAAATAAATTATTGTAATGGTAGCTTACAGGTCTGTTTTTCATTAAATATATATATATATATATATATATATATATATATATATATATATATATATATATACGCACACAGGGGTTGGACTTCGGGGCTTACAGTACCAGGTGTTCCCAAGCGGTCCCCATCTAAGTACTGACTTGGCTCACGATGCTTAACTTCGGTGATCGAACGAGAACCGGTGTTTTCAGCGTGATTTGATCGTAAGCAAAGTCCAACCCTTACCTCACAGTCGGTGGGGATGTAAACGGTAGTGTCAGAGCTATGTAGCCCGGAACATCGTTCCTGGTAGGGACACCCAAGGCGGACAGGTCTGACACACATGCCGGCTAACAAGGGCTCTGGTGAAAATCCAAGGAGCGTCTGCATCGGTAACCGGCGGCTTCTGGTCGTTCCTGTCTCTGCGTCTGTGGGAACCCCGCAGCAAGCAAGAACGTTATCCGAGTAGGCCTGGGTACCCTACTTCTGTAATTTATCCCAAGAATCTTCTTCTCACAACAGGAAGAAGCCGGCTCAATCCGCACAGGGTGAATGTCGCATCAGGATATACGCACACACACATAGGAAGCAAGCTAATCTCATCATCAAGAAGTGAAAGAAAACACGCTCTTAGCCTAAAAATTACACTTACATATGGAGAACTCAACTGTAATTTGCTGGGTTCTTGCCATCGGTCCAGTACTACGCTTAAATTCATAAAGTCTAGTTATCTTTGAAGAGCTTATCAGAAAAAAATTCTATGGAAGTATTTGTTTAAAAAAAGGCAGGTAGAGGCAGCTTTATGGCAGTGTGAAAGTGTGTGAAGCTAAGCTGCCAGATGAGGACCAGTAATATTGCTGATTCTTCTTTGGATATTACCAAGGATCTCAAGCTATATGGCAGGAGCACCATACGATATGTGACAGCGATATTGTAAGCAGAGAAGAAAGATAGACTCAGGAGAGAAAAAGTGTCTTGCACGATACAGCGAGCCAACTTTCTTTATATATATATATATATATATATATATATATATATATATATATATATATATATATATATATATTTGTGTGTGTGTGTTTGCGATTTTCGGCGTAAATATATGTATGGGCGATTGTGGTGTCATTTCTAGGTTTGGTATATTTACGTGATATCTTTTCGTTCAATGATGATTACACACGTCATCAGGAGATCGTTCGCAATTTTCCACTGTCTATAGCGGGCACTTGTTATGTCTAGACTCTTACCCCGAGAACGCGCCGACTGTCCAACCATCCCTCCAATCTCCTCTCCGATTGGTCATCACGTAATTACATGAAATCCGACTGGGAATAAACTAAGAAAAATATGGAACGTTGCAAATAGAAAGAGAGAAATAGAGAGAGAGAGAGAGAGAGAGAGAGAGAGAGAGAGAGAGAGAGAGAGAGAAAAAAAGAGAATAAAACATATTTGAGCGATGTAAACTTGGAATGTATTTTGTGGGTGGGTGTAAACGATGTGATAGAGACACAGACAGGCATGATTGTCAATTTTTTTCTCCGGTTACCGGCGTAACAAAGATGTCAATATGGGTGTTAAGGAGTGACACATAGTATTGGGAAGAGAGACAGAAGAGTGAAAGAGAGAGGAGAGAGTGTTAGAGAGAGGGAGAGAGAGATGGAAAAAAGAAATGTCGGAAAGACAAGGAGAGATAAGAAATACTCTTACAAATGTAACGTTTGATACAATGTTTCACCGAAAATCGATGTCAAATGTCTGATAATAATTGTGGACAAAATAGAGTTCGAAATCTTTCACACACACACACACACACACACACACACACACACACATATATATATATATATATATATATATATATATATATATATATTATAAAATCACTACAAAATAGCCATATTGTTTCAACACCTCTGGTGTCTTATCAAGTGATATATATATATATATATATATATATATATATATATATATATATATATATATATATATATATACAGAGAGAGAGAGAGAGATTATTAGTAGTTAATATATATATTCACTATTCACTTATAATTGTTTTAGCGAGACAAGCTCAGTAACTATTGCACCACGCCGTGGTGCCTTATATATACATATATATATATATATATATATATATATATATATATATATATATATATATGTGTGTGTGTGTGTGTGTGTGTGTGTGTGTGTGTGTGTGTGAAAAGTGTATATAAATATAAATAAATATATATATGTATAATTATTTATATATTATATGCGCAGTACTTATTAGAAAGCGCTTAATATCAGAGATAGAGCTAACATATTTGGTTGGATAGATGTGAGTTTTGTGATTTCACGCTTTAGCTCTCGTCAGATGTTGTGGTTAGACGTACTGACGATCGCTAAAGCGTGAAACCCAGGTCACAAACTCACATCTATCCAACTAAATATATATATATATATATATATATATATATATATATATATATATATGATTTTAATGAACTTTTTAATAGGACACTATAAATATAAACGTTATTCGTAATGGCTACACGTGTTTGAGTGTTTTTAATTTTTATAGACAGCGTAAAAAATATAGAACAAGCCCGGTTATTAGTAAATCGAATTTTTAAGAAAAGTAAAATCAGGCATATCAGTTAAAAAAAAATTGCCATTAAAATCACGTTTTATATTATTTAATTATTAAATGTTCTCTCTTGCTCTCTCTCTCTCTCTCTCTCTCTATATATATATATATATAGTTTATGCAAAACTAGGTAATCCTCACCACTTACCCATCTATAGACAATTACGCGTTAAGTTTTAAGCGACGTCTAGCCTACACAGAGTGGGGTTAAGAATAAGGAATTGAAATGGTACATCTAATCCACCCATATCTTCTCTCCCACCTCACTTCTTCACTTCGTTAATTTTACATATGCTTGATGCGGTCCGTCAAAAACGTGTAAAGTCTGATGATCCAGAGCCCTGTTAAAGGGGTTGTGGTGAAATAACATTACATGGAACCTTAAAGTGGTCTGTTTTTATTCAAACATATATATATATATATATATATATATATATATATATATATATATGCTGTCAGGTCGGTAGGAGGACAACTGGCTTGACAGAATAAATGAGACCCGAGCAAACAGCACGGTAGTAACAGAAGTAGCCAAACCACCGGGCTTCTATTTCTGTCCGCATTGCGTACGTCTTTGACATTACTTCAATCGACTCCAGTCACCTTCTTCTTCAACCTACACGTAGATGTCATTGTCAAACTCGATAAACCAACACTGAATATACACAGACACAGATATATATATATATATATATATATATATATATATATATATATATATATATATAATTAATTAATTCATCCACTACCGAGGGTTCAATTATAATTATCAAATCCTCCTACTAATTACTATATATATATATATATATATATATATATGTATGTGTGTGTGTGTGTGTGTGTTGTAACCTAGGGATGGTTACTGAATAGAATAATCACACGAAAGTTGGTAATGAACGATAATATTTAGGACACGAACAACAGAATATCTACCAACCGCCCCACGCGGTCAGATGTCGCACATGCCCGAATTTAATGTGGGGTATCCGAACCCGGAGGCTCGGCAAAACTTCTCCGTAGACGCCGAAAACAGGGCCGAGTAGCTGTTTTCCAAGACGAGACACTGCCCTTCGACATAGCCTAGTCTGGGGATCCTCTCTGCCCGGAGGCAGAGAGATTGACCAACATAGCTGGAGACGAATCTCCAACTGCAGACCAACATACAGTATTTACTACAGTATTACGATTACTTCATGGTTGCAATATTGCTGTTGCGTATCATATATCTAGTGATCTTTGATATCATCTAAAGGAGAATCAGCAATATTATTGGTTGTGAGCTGGTGTCTCTTCTTCTGTCTTTTTCCCACCGTCGTAAATTGCAATCCTCTAAGTTTTCTAGAAATACTTTCATAGCAACTGTGTGTGTATATATTTAAACAGAAGATATTCTTTAAGGAAAATGTTATTAAAGACAACAGACATTTTGCGTCGATTAATTTTATTGATCGAATTTTAGATTCACACAATTTGTCTTTATCTAACCTGATGGTGAATTAAGAAAGTCGGAAGCTTAAGTCATATTTTTTCCAAAATTAACTTTGGACAATTTTTGACGGAATTCCATCCTAAACTGAGAAAGATTATTTGCAATTTGGAAAGTTAATCAATAAAATTAGTCGACAAAAAAAAAGATTTATCGTCTTTAAAAATAATAATAATAATAATATATATATATATATATATATATATATATATATATATATATATATATATATATATATATTGTGATCAAATATATATGTAGATCGAATAAAGATCAAAATCAGACATAATGATAGGGTAAGCAACGAATAGAAAATATTAGATAGATCTGCCATGATTCACCTGTCCTAAAAACTTTAATACCGTATGAGATATTATGGAAGAAAATATCAATAATCTCAACGCCACCTATTTGTATCTTATATATCTTATATATATATATATATATATATATATATATATATATATATATATATATAGAGAGAGAGAGAGAGAGAGATTGTTAATATTAGTGGTAATGACCATGGAATATTAGTGTTTAAGCCATTTTATTATATATATATATATATATATATATATATATATATATATATATATATATATATATATAATTATTTATTTAAAATATGTTTCCAACACGCTACATAAGAGTTCTCATGTTTCAAAACAAGAGCCGATAATTATTTGAATTAAATTGAATTAAAGTAAGCTCTTTTCCATCTTCAAGCGAAATTTTTTTGAAGATGGAACAGAGCCTAATTTAATTCAATTTAATTCAAATAATTATATTGAAGTTTTCGGCTCTTGTTTTGAAACATGAGAACCCTTATGTAGCGTGTTGGAATCATATTTTTCAATAAATAATTATATTTATGCTCTACTTTTGTATCGAGCACTATTTTTTAAAAATAATAACAAAAATTAATTGGATTATTCTTTCCTATTTTCTATATATTTTCACACACACACACACACACACACACACACATACATATATATATATATATATATATATATATATATATGAATTTTTAAGCATCTCACTTCGCAGGTTCTTCTCTCAAACAACTAATATGACTTTCCCTTCTTCATGTCAGCCGCCGATGTGTTAAGCCTGTCAAACTTTAGACGAAAACTGGCAAACTCGGACTATGGTTTGAAATATCCCCAAGGACTTTATCAGGGTGTGGCATGGATTCTGAATTTATGTGTTTGTTCTCCATGCAGCCATCCTTGGAACGAAGTTCTTATTTCCATCAAAGACTTTACCAACGCGATCAGTTAACAAATCGATATCTATGCTTATGACACAACTACTTACGCCTGCCTTAATAGAGAGTTCGATAAACTCATCAAAGTATGACTGTCCGCTTCTATCGAAACAAATCTCGAATCTGTTGTTTAATGTCACAAGAAAAGGTTTCAAAAAGATCTAAAGCGAAAATTGCTTCGTTACTGCCGTCATCAGTTCACAAATCGATATCTATGTTCATGAAGCAACTATTTACTCTTTAATAGTGAGATCCATAGGCTCGACAAGGTAAAACTGGCAGCTGTTCTCGAAACAGACCTCGAATCTCTTGTTAAATGGAGCAAGAAAATGTTTCAACATGTTCACGAAAGAAAAATACTTGAACTATTATACGCATGCGTAGCAGGTGTAGAAGTTCCATTATTTTGGAAACGTTTTAACAGATGGTGGAAAATACGACACCGGGATCCGAACACGCATTGGGTTATCCAAAAAAGCGTTGCAAATGCCTAAGTATCGGCTGAGAAACGAAAAATATTCGTTAGTGTTATAATCCGGTTCCTTGTACCACGGCGATAGTCCAAGGTAGAACCAATAAAGAAGAACTCGAACACGTATATGGAATAACACAGATATATTACAAACAGGAATATATACAGAAAAGTAGAAAGAGTTAGTACGAACAATCAGGTTTAGTAGTAATTGTCTGAACGCGACCCTGTTTCGGACTGCCTCTGACTCGACTGACTAACTCGCTCGCTCTGACGGATTGACAGACTTCTGACGGACCTCACTCCAGACTTCAGACTGAACGGTATTTAGTCACGCCACCACGAAGGCATCATGTGGCTCAAGGCCGGTTTAACGTGGGATCTCCGAGCCCGTGGTCTCGGCCAAAAATATGCCCATTGAACCCGTATGAACGGGTTCAGGGTCGGTTTACCTCCCCGAAAGAGACTCCGCCCTTCAGCGTAGCCTCGTTCGGGTTCCTCCCCGCCCGAAGGCAGAGAGTTCAACCGATCAGCCGGTCTGCCGGTCGCCCGACATCAGGCTGAACTCACTGCTTCCTCTTGAGGTGCTGTATTTATTACGTATGGAATAGTCCATTATGTTATTATGGGTAAGGTCCCGTAACAGTTAGAAACAAAGAA